TTTTTTTGGGTTGGGTTTGCAAATGAATCAAGTCACGACAATTTCCACAAGGTAACACTTAAAACTTGATACACCATGTATTTACAAATAACACAGCCTGTTGAAAGCCACATCCAGGAAATTATTCAGCCATTCTGATGCTGTTACTTAAGTTAGGATCTTTGAAAATCCATAATCGGCAGAAAAAAAACCCTTCTGTCTCGTGTCTATCGACGGTGTTGACAGACATGACAAGTGCTTGCAGATGGTACATTCACAAAGGTACACTGATCGCAAGTCCAATTAACCGAATCATCTGCATTTCTACCTGATGTGGCAGATCTTGAAGATCCTTTCCCCCTTGTGCCTTTACTCTTGCTAGTCCCGGCCCCGTTTTTGGAACTATTACTTGCTGCCTGGGATACATCTGAAAGACCATTCTCCAGTGCTTTCACCAAGTTCTCAAAGTAGTTTCGGGTCACGCTGTAAGCAAAGGATAAGAAATAAAATATTATTGTTAGTTTGTTACATCAATCCAATGGATTAATTATGCATAAAAAAATCTTGGCCCAATCTCTAAGTTCTAATCCCGTAAAATTATTTAAAAGGACTATACCAGACGAGATTTCCAAAAGAATAGAAACAAAATCAATAAAATCATTCACGTGCATGTTCAAATATATGATGATCATGCAAAATTCTTCTAGTAATATAATGTTCGAAATCAAATTAATAATTATCACCACTCTGAATCACAACAGATGCATATTCATGTTCAAACTTCCAACTTAAACTGGACACCACCTTTTCAAGCGGATATATTACGAGAAATGAGAGAGGCGACATTTGTCCATTGGGTAATATACAACTTAGAATTGTACCTTCAAACATGTCTGCTGACTACTGGTTACTTCCAGAAATAGCAACTACAATGCTCATATATATTCATATATACATATATACATATCCTGCTGGGATAGGAAATGCAAGTAGATAATATGCTGAAGTTTCAGCATCTATCAAATCTCATAAATAATCAAGAGAAATCAATGAATCTCAAATAGCACAAAGGTCTTGATGTTATAACTTCCTAGTTTTATGTATATTGAAGATGACGCAGGTTATTTACAGATCTATAATATGAAGTCATCTATTTGTCCTCGCAACCACAATATACCTGGTTAGACCAGCAAGCTTTGTACGGAAATCATTAAAATCTTTTGATGGCCCATCAGCATTGAGGTAATTCATTAGCTCTTTCTCTGCACACTGATGAAGCCTCTCGAGACCCGCTTCCGCCTCACCTAATCATTAATTTGTTGATTTCAAGTTCCACAAAAATGATAAGAGTTTTTCTTCAAGAACTTGGAGACATACCTTGCAAATACTCGAAGAATTTCTTTTTAGTATCTTCATGCTCATGTAGATAGTACCCATATGCATAAGTCCATTTGAGCACTCTCCTACACTCAACTATCTGCACAATGATCCAAAGGCCATGTGTGGTTATCTAATACTTTAAGGGACGCAAATGCTCAAAACACAACTTGATAGGGATTCTCAGTTTCATATAAAAATTGTTTTTCGTGTAATTCTCTGTGTAAAAAATGAGTACAAATGAAGTTCATATTACTTTGATTAGTCATAGCAAAGAAGGCATCAAGAAACATATGATAGAGAGTATTATTCACAAATACATTTAACAATTAGCACCTATTAGATTGGCAGAATTCTAAAACGTAATCCAAATTGACCAAAGATATAACTGAACAAACAGACCCGTTTTCTTGCTTACCTGTTGCCAGGCTTCTATAATGAATTTCAATTGTGACTCCGGTTGTGATTGTACTTCACTAAGCTTCTCAAGCTGGAGAGAAAAAGTACAAACATAACAATAACCAAATGCATGGAAGAACACAAAATTATGACATAAAATGATCCAGGAAATGATAAAACAAAAAAAATGACGTCACCACCATAGCTGCAGACTTGTATGTTATATATAGCTATGAGTGATCCAAATGTGGGGGAAAAAGAAAACAGCACTTCAGAAATACATCCCCTATAACCATCTCAACAATACAAATAAAGGACAACCTATCCATCAATAACGCCGTGGTTATGGTATATTATAAGTTGCTAATTAAAGAGTGCTTCGGCCTACTGATGATTTATGCATATGTTATAGTAGGAAAGTATTACAGAGGCCACCTTTATTTTGCATTTAAGTATATTCCCAACCTGTAACTATTGACTACTTAATGGATGAGATAGTTTTTAATCACTTCTGCCCTGCCTGTGCTTGAGACAAATTGTACTTTCTTAGAGTGTTGTGGTTGGTCGTGAAAACTGTAGCTAGGCTGGTGAAAGATTAAGGACACAATATATGCTGATTATTGAGAATACTTAAATTTCTCATTAATAAAACTGTCATCAACATAACAGGGAATGGGTATCATGCAAAATAAAGCTTCAATCATTGAACAGGGAATGGACTATCATGCAAAATAAAGCTTCAATCGTTGAAGTGTTCTAGAATATTAAAGTATCCTCAGAACATCCAAAATGTTTGCTGAAAAGACAAAATTCAGGAAATCATTAGTAGTAAGATTAGATTTATAAAGGTTACAAACAGTGGCTTTCAATAGAACCGTTTATTGATGTGAATGCACTTCGTTCCACCCTGCTCTTGTCATTGCAAGAAGAGAAATCTTATAAGCTGACAGCATTTGGCTTACAAACTTGGATGGGGAGCACAACTAAAGTAAGTTATTTCACACGAATACATAAAATAAGACATAAGTCCATTTTCCAAGAAAAAAAAGAATCGAACATTTAAGAGCTCATGCTCATTCTAAAATGGTACTAACGATTTTAAAGCCATTTTAGAATGATCTACCCAAATAAGCTCAATGGACTTATTGTTATGGACTTAAAAATCCAAACCCTTCCACAAATGCAGTTTAGAGAAAAATAAAATATTCATATAAACATTATTTGCCTTCTGCAGTTCCCTACTGAGGAACAGTACCAAAAGGAAAAATTGTGAGCACAGTTGTTAAAAGATGAAATAACATACCATTCAGAATTAACATTTAAATATATAGCATAACTAACATAACTTACATGTATGCTTTGCATCTGATGCAGATCTGCTAGAGCTTTTTGCCTTGACTGCAATAAATTTGCAAAAACATACAGGTTATGCGAATGCAACAAGACGATATATCAAAGAAAGAAAACTCGCATTTAATAGACATGGTAGCAGTTAGCTACATACCGATTGGTTGGAAGCCCAGCGCTCATAATAATGAGTGTATCTTTCCAAAGAGTTTTTGGCCATCTCTCTCCTCCTCTCAGCTTCATCATACTGGATGAATAATGCAATTAGCCAAATAAGTCAAAGTATATCATTGTTTTTGGAATTGACAAACTACAACAGCTTCTGACAGGATAACTTGTTAGCTTAAATTCCCTCGTTACGCACCACTCCCTCTTGTTTTGCTGCTTCATAACGGTTGCATGCATAGAACCCTCCTGTCCTCTCACCGTGGTCTGACCATGCACCAAGACATAGCCTGTGAAAGAGTTAAAAACACCAATGTCAACGCAGTTCTACACAAGAAACCAATGAAATTAGTATCTGGAACAAAAAAGCGTGTGGCTATTTGGTTTTGTCATGAAGCAATTTTCTTCAGAAGTACAAAGGTTAACAAAAAAAAAAATACCAGCAAAATTCAAACTTGCAGGGTGGTGTGCAAGTCATGTGCATGCAGCCTTGATTCTTCTCTATCGGACGCTTGCACTTTGGACAAGGCTTGGAGTTGGCCAATATCCTAATATCACAAAATGAGCAGGAACTAAGTCATGCTTTTATAACACCACAAGACAAGTTCCACTCCAAATAAAAATAAAAAAATGAAAAAAAAAAAATAGACCTGTCTTAACTGAAAAGTTAGCATTTCCAATACTCCGGGTTCCTATTAAGTTTTTATATGGAAATAAATCAATGACTCCCAACAAGACATTGCAGTACCCAGAAACTTACATCATCTTAAGGAAGAACCCGTTATGGTACAAAACAAGTAGACTTCAACAGGAGGGATTGGGGGGGGGTGGGGGTGGTTGGTGGTGGAAGAGACAGGGCGGAACAAGGCCAACATGGAAGTATACTACATTAGCTAATTAGGAGTGGCATCTCAAGAGCACTCACTATACACTTGAAAATGAAGAGAGCACACAGGACGAAAAACAAGGTCAACAAGAAAAGTGAAGTACATCAGAGGAATGACAATATGAGCACTCCCAGTGGCACACCTTTAGTACCTACCAGATAACCAGAAACAGCGGACCATATCCCAGGATACCAGATGTACCAGGTAACTGAACCTTTATGTAAATAGCAGAGAAATAGTGCCATGTCCTATCAATTTCTTTGGTTTTTTTACCTATATAATGAGATATGTAATTTCCCTTATTCCATTGGCATCTAAAGAAAATTTCAAGCAAAAAATACTACTAACCGTACATCCACAAGTACAGATTCATAGTAGTGATTAGTGAAGCAAAATTATGTATTATTTTCCTCTTCCCCCCTTGACATGTGATGACAACTCCATATTGTTTAAACATGTCATCTTCAGGCATTTGGTGAAGAACCAAATATCTGAAACAGACAAGAGTGTCCTCAACTCCACTTCAGAACGTGAGTTGACTTAAAAAGCTGCTACATTTTTGCATGCCCATAAATAACAGCCCCACATCAAATCAAGGATGCCATTTTTTTTCAAAATTTCAAATAGGACTTCACATCTTCAGGGAAACTGTACTAAAACTCTTTTCCTTATCCAATCAAATTAAACAACTATTATCAATAAATTTCTAAATTTAGAAGAACTATAGTCATAGTGTTCTATGACTTCGAAAGTAAAAATAGTTGATACTTATCTCTTCATCCAAAAAAAAAAAAGAACCAAAACAATCAGATCAGTTTGTAATTCAAAGAACCTGTTTCTGATAGTAAAATACAAAGCCAGCAACTACTTGACAACATCATGATGAGAAATTCTACACTCAATTATAGAAAGCAAAAGGAAAAGAAAACACTCTGTGTGATAAATACTCTACCAATTCATGTTTTCTGACTCTGCACTGTTTTTCAAAATCCACTTTGTCACAGTTTCGCAGTCCACTGGCCGATGAGCTTCCTCAGTGCACTGATTTACCACCAACTCAGAGTAAACATGAGGATTCAATAAAGAATAATAATAAAACAAATAAACAGAAACAATAGACATTCAAATGCATAGAGAAGCTATATTCCAACTTACATTCCAACAGAAGCTATATGAGCAACTGCAAGAGACATCATAGCTTCCACTGCCAACAACATATTCCACAGCAGAATCACAACCAGGAGCAGGACACCACTTAACCTGCATGAAAATACCAAACATACATTAATACCACGAAATAGGATGAATCACAAGTGAGGGACGCATTCGAGATCACAAGGGCCTGTTGTTCTAATAAAGCTTAGTAATTATCATACCCTCCAAATCTAATACCAATTAACAGGAGCAAATTGACCACATGATGGGAAATCAAGGCTGAGCTAATAATATTTCTCTGTATCTAATCTTGAAGATTACAAAATCTCAAAGGTAGTTGAAAAAATTTTTAGAATAACAAATCTCACTCTCCCAAAACAAAATTAGAATCAAGTAATCAAATTAACAGCAGTTTATTGGCCAAGCCTCCCACTGATATGGATAGCACTTCAGAATCAACAGAAACATCTCTATTTGTGTTGGGAAAGGGTAGGGGCCAAAGAAGATTAGAGGTAGAAAACAAGAACGTGACTAGAACTCATCTAATCCTCTGAAGTGATCAAGCACAAATTTAAACACAATTGCATCAGCGTTTGTCAAAAAGATAGTCATAGATAATATATTACTACAAGTAGCAGCACCAATGATGAAAGGGACTAATATCCATATTAGAAGATCCTTCCCTTTTCTGATGATTCACATGTAATATAATATACACGCACACAATGATAAATTTGAAATATCTATATACAGACCGCCTTACCTACCAGCATGGTGTATGGAAGCGCATGTCTTTTGCATTAACATTTCATGAGGAAATTGATTATTAGTAGCAAACTTTTCACATATTATTTGGATAGAATGGTAATCCCTACTTAATAAAACAAAATGGCCTATAGAATCTTTGTACTTGAAACTGGCAGGGTATCTGGGAAACATAAGCGTACCTTGCGGCTGTCCTCAACATACGACCTAAGAAGATAGCGTTTATACTTTTCTTTATCTTCATCACATGCCAACTTATTAATCATATCTTGGCCAATAGCAGCACCACAGGATGGATCAGGACACCTCAGAGTCAAGCATCCAGGGCCATCGTTGATGGATGTGCTAATGTAAGCTAATACCAGAGATGGAGAATAGATCAATAGATTTATTTTTTGATCCCTTACGTAAGAATATGGTTGCAGAAAGTAGAAATAAAAGTATTACAATTTACAAATATGAGTGAGACAAAAATATCAGAAATAAAGTAAATTACAGGCAAACATCTCAGTTATGCTCCTTCACACAATTTCTCATTGAATTTTGGATGGAGGAGAAGATGTCGTATTGGTTAGTTTTGAGCAAGTGAAGAAATCCTAATCATATTTGGTATAAACTACACAACAAGTAGAACACAAATTGATCTCCCATTTTAAACTAAAACACAAAGGTCAACGTTGTAACCTTGGCGATGCTATTCAACATCTGGTATTTAACCTTTCATATAAGAACCATAATTCCCCCAAGTCTTCATTTCCCCCAACTACAATCACGGAATCAGATACAAAGTCCATCTAAGGACATTTTTCAAGAGGAATGAAAAAAAAAAAAAAAAAAAAAAAAAAAAAAAAAAAAAAAAACTCAAGAAATCACCTCTTTTTCAGGAAATCACCTCTTTTTCAGGGACAAAAAAACACAAAAGAAATCACCGCTGAAGAAAAATATGCATTTGATTCTCATCCCCCCGCCCTTTTTCAGGGGAAAGGGCAGTCCATGTTTTCCTTTCCAAATTTTCTAACTTCTCTGTCACACCCATACTGATGTTATTCTCCAGGGGGGGAAATGACCATGTAGAAAAGTCTGAACCCCAGCACCCCTCCTAGTCCTCACTAATCTTAGGTCCCAACAGAAGCAAAATGACAGGAAGTAGGAAACCACAAGACCTCTAGCCATCTCAAGAGGATAACTACTTTTCACGGAAACACTATTCCTAAAGTTAATGTAGATTCTCCAGATCAGATTGGACACAAGACACCAATAGAAGCTATAAAGAATAAAGTTATGAATCAGCTTTTTTTTTCAAAATGAAAGTCGCAGTATGCAGCGGCTAGACGAACCTTTCCAGCATACATCACAGAAAAGATGAACACATGCAGCTGAACGAAGACTATTGCAAGAGTAGTTCTCAAAACAGATTCCACAGGCAACCTGCTTGATAGGAAATATGTTACAATGAAGAAAGACGGGGGAAGTACATTCATGAATGGAAAAAACACAAGGGAGTCTATTCACAGGTAACTTACTTCAGTAAAATTTTGATACTTGACAAGTGGTTTCTCCAATAAACCAACAGCTTTACGAACGGCTTCTTCGTTAGCAAACCATTCCTCATGAACATTATTCACACTCCTGCATAAACAATTACCTATGTAAAAAGAGAATGTGAAATCATTTCAAAATATCTCATCAGAAAAAAGCAGTAGGAGAAGGAAGATCTCAATGGCCTCATTGCATTATTCACTTGACACAAACTTAAATTTCATATATACGAGTTCGATATCAAATAAAGCAGACTCAACACAAGACGGAACAATACAATGTATAAATCTCATTGAGACCCAGATCTCAAAAATGGAGCACCAAGGTTACCAGTTATAACGTTGCAATAGTATGCATGCGGCTGCCCTTGGAATTGAAAGGACAGTAGAAATTTTGGTAATGTCTTCTTCTTGACGTTGCTGTATATCTTCTTCCTTTAAGATGGTATAGCTCTTCTGCAGAATATACCAATGTACAACATCAAGCAAAAAGAGAGAAATAAACAATAGAAGGATTTTTCAAATAAAATTACTTTCCCATGAAATCACACCAGAAATTTTGCTCATTTTTCTTAGTTCCAACTCTTTTCAAGAATCATTGCTAATCTGGTCAGTCCAAATTCCAAAACCATTTAATCTGATGGGCCAAAAAGAAACATGATATCCTAATCAGAAACCATCCATCAGAACTATATATATCATATTCAGTTGAAATTTATTAAAACACATAATTAACACAAAAGAAGAATCAGAATACATAATGCACATATCAATTATTGAACCATCTACAAAACCAAATTCATAAGAAAAAAAAAACTCAACTTTCAGCACAAATCAAACTCAACCTAAAAGAAAATATCAAATTTCAGCATAATAAAGTCAAACTACTCAGTCTGTTTGCATAAATAGAGTAAATAAAGGTAATAAAACCAAGTTCATGGTATACCTGTGACCGACTATGGAGAACATCATCGTCGTCGTCTGAGTAATTGGCTACAAAGTCGTAATCTCCGGTATCGTCGTCTTCCTCATTAGCATAGTCATAGCTGTAGCCGTAATCTTCCTCATCATCTCCCTCCGCATCCATATCCTCTTCTTCGCCGCCGCTATAATAGTCATCCTCTTCTTCCACTGACGCTACCTCGTTGGCGTCGTGCATATCATCCTCGGACTCCATACGAGCGCCGGTTCGCAAAAATTCAGCAGATCCTCCGAGAAAAACCTACACGCCGAAAGAGCGAAAAAGTGGCCCGATATGAAGATCGGAACTAGGATTTCGACTCGGGGGTTAGGGCTGTGGAGATGTGTGATCATTCACTTCAGCAAAACGGGAAAGCAACTAGACCTTGATGACTGCTTTCTTGTCTTATAATTATTGACTCGCGTCACGCACCATTTTTATCGTATTTTTACTTTTTGAGAAAAAATCACTTTGTTATAAGGCTCGATAAAATCTAGTCGAAATTGAAAAATCGTGCTAAACAAATGTATTCGGTTCGGTTCGATTCGATTCGATTTCTGGACAGATTGATTTGCTGGGCTATTAAGAATTTGAAAGACTGTAAAAATTTCGTGCGATTCGATTTTATGTCCACATGGTGCGGTTTACCGAACCGCACCGAATGGCTTAAGCCTTAAAGTGGCAATTTATCCCACCTAAGTTTGACAACGCTTTCAAATACCAATTACACCACACTTCGACCCGCGTTTTTTAACTTTTTACATTGCAATCAAAAATTCTAAGCCCCAAACCTAGTTTTTTCAGAATTCACTCATTTCTCTCACCTTTCACTCTCGTCTCGTCTCTCGCCCGCCCTCCGTCGGCCGCTCTTTGCCTTTTCAATCTCCGGCACCCGACGCTCGCCCGTCGTTTCACCAATCTCCGTCGTCATTATTTGTGTAAGCTTTAGCTCTCTCACTCTCTTTGTGTTCTTAATCGAGCACTATTTTCTGTTTTTGTTTTTTTGGCTTTGTCATTGGTTGTGAGACTGTTAGGATACAATGCTTTTGTGGAATCTAATTGAATGAGATCCATTTTTAATTGCGTTTTTGGTTTTTGAGATATTGAATTAAAAATTGTTTTTTTGTTTCTTTTGGCTGTTGTTTATGTTTTTTGGACACCTGAACTTAACTTATTGTATATGTATATATACATGTTGTTTATTTTTTTCTGTTTTATTTGCAGTTATAACCGCACTGAACCAAAATTTTGGTGCGTCTTTGGTTCGTTTTTTTCTTTAAATTCGGTATGCTTCGATTTGGACATTTTAACATTTTCGGTTTTCGGTTTTTTTCCAGTTATGAGTTTTAGTACGCAAATTCTCAATTCAATTCATATTGATCCCAATGCTCTCTCGCTCTCTAAAAACCTAAATTCTCAAATTTCTAATTGCGAAGGGACCTTGGCTCTCTATTTCGGCGTGTCTCTTCATTAGCGGCGACTCTCCTCCCTCCTGTAGGAACCAAGGCCCGAGGTGGTACCAGCGTAGGTCATCACTCCAAGGTTCGTTGCTTCAAGCCTTTCGTGGGATTCTCCTCATTTCCCCTCGGCGGGCCATGGTGGGTGTGTTAGAAGCGGATTTCAGGCAACTTTGTGGTGGCGGTGGCTGCTCGACTATAATACAAGTCACGCACCTTGACCGGTTGGAAATTGCCTCACGCTCGTTCTCCTCGCCGGTTGAACACGAAACCTGCACGAAACTCCCACACTGGAGGGGTTTACCGGTGAAGAGCCTCCAACGCTCAAGTCAGATCTTGAGAGATAAAATGTATGAGTAAATATGTGAGAGTATGAAAAATTGTATCGAAGAGTGAGGATTCTATAGGGACGAGCTACCTGTTCTACACGCGCGGGTAGGGCGAGTTTGGCCAACCGTCCTCTGCTCGTTCGTACAACCGTGCGCCTCCACTATCCTTGACGTCAGGGAACGCGTCCAATTTGTCAGAGAATGTCATAGTTCGTTATAGCCATGGGCCACTCATAGGATGCCGCGTGTCCTTCTTTCACGTGCTGGAGATTCTCTTATGCATTCTGCTGCTCGACCAAGTCTGTACGACCACGACCTATCCGACCATCCTTCCTCGACCAACTCCTCGAGTAACCGGTGCCTGTCGATCACTTTTGAACCCACTCGTCTCTGTTGTCTGCTCTCTGTCCTTCGTTGCAGGTGTCTGGTCCGGTTCGACCATACCATTTGACCTGTCTTATTTAGCTAATCCGATGAACCGGTCTATTTTCTTCGGTTAGTCCAACAAACCAGTCTAGTATATAATATCCCATATCATCTAGTCCCTCCACTCTGGTCGAGTCTAAATGACTCGATCTAAGAGTAGGCTTTGGTCTATGTCGAGGAGGTTCTGCTTCTTTGTTTTCGACCACCTGACACATTTCCTTCTTTTGCGCGTTTACTTTCTTTTCTAACCGCCACTTTGCGCTTTTTGAATTTCAAATTTCGCCACTTGTCCGCCCTTTTGGGATGCGTCTTTTCGTCTGCTCAGAAGTCATGATAACCTCGTGACCCGTGTTACCTCGAATCTCGCCCCCACTCCTGCGTATCTCTCTTTCCTGCCGTTAGATTTCCTACTTTAATCCTACGGCTCGGGACTACGTGTCTGTTCGCTCGTCCTCCCATCGCAGCCATTCATTATTTATGATCCTGCGGTCGGTGATTTTTCCCATTCATCTTTTGCCCTTATAAATATCCACACTTAGGGCGATTTTCTCTTTTTCTTCACTATCGCACTCCATCGCACTAGAGCTTTTTACAACCGTCGAGCATCCTGCAACCTTGAATTCTCCGTCCTATCTGCAAGCTCTCTGTCGTTCACCATGAGTAAGTCTTCTTAGCTTTTCAATTTATGTTTGTTAAGTTTTAATTTTCGGGTTCCTCCTCTTTCCCTCAAACTTCTTCTCGATTCTGGCCACGCCCTTTGTTCGTCCTTCCCGCTGTACTCTCCTCCATTCTTTCCCACCTTCAACTCCGCTTTTGCTCTTTCCTTCGATTAATTATAATTTTTCTTTCTTTTATCTCAGATTCTGCTACTTCGAGTGAGAATGATCGATACAGCGGGAAGGACCTGACTCCCTCTTCTTCTTCTGCGACCCCTAGCCTATCGAGCGATTCTGTACAAGAAATTCTTCAGCCTGAGCCCATTTCCATCCTCCCCCTGCGACGATCAGCGATAGCCCTACAGCCACTGCTATCTCTCCCTCCACCTATCTTGTCGACCAACCGGAGGATGAGGTTACCAGCCGCCCTCCTTCTCGTCCCACCGAGCGTGCTCGTCGAGCTATCGGTCAAGATGACGAGATCGAAGACGAGGACGATCCTCAGGACCACCTCCCGTTGTCTGCTCGTGATCTTAAAGACTTTGTTTCTCTGTCCTCTCGCGCCCCTGTCTCTTCGACCATACCTTCTCGCTCCCATCGACCCAAGGCATCCAAACGGTCCAAATCATCTAGGCCATCTTCGAGCGTTACCCGTCTCGACTTTGATTCGATTGGTCATCCCAGGACTGCTCGTACCCCTGACGATGATGATACCTACGATAACCCTCCAGACGGCTATTACACCTTCTCCCGATCCCATTGCGACCTAGGCCTTCGTTTCCCTATCTGTCAGGCATTGATCGACCTGTGCGGTTTGTATGGCCTGCCTCTCAACCAAATCACCCCCAACGCCTTCAGGACATTAGCGTCCTTTATCATTTTGTCTATGGTCCGCATGGGTAGAGTAGATTTAGACTTCTTTGTATATTGCTATTTTACTTCGAAACAATCGGAAAACATCTATTTAAAAAGTCGGAATAAAGCTTGTTTCATTACTGATCGACCATCCAATGTTCCGAGATAGAAAGATCAGTTTGTGTATATACATCCCCCACAGCCTTACCCTTGGGCGCCCACCCCTTGGTTCACAGAGGTGCCCCTAAAACCTGCTCGTCCTCATACCAACCCAATCTTTGAGCGCCGCACACAAGTGTGGAATTCGAATCCCGTCGCTTCTACCCCTTTACTCGAAGATGATAACCTCCTCCACTATTGTGGAATTTTGACCCATAAAAAGTTTTCTCCTCCTATCGCCGAGACCATTCTCCAAATTCGCGTCGATCCTAAACTTGCTGAAGTTAATAAGACAGCTCGAGCAGGTGCTCGGGTCATCATTATTATATGCTTTGAATTTATTACGTTTTATGTCATCAACGAACTTTTGATTAACTTCGTTATTCATGCAGATGGATTTTTTCATAAGCCAGACCTCAAGAAATCCGGCGATAGGAGGTCCACTCATAAGGACACCCCAGCCAATGTCGAGAAGGCCAAGGGGCAGCCTTCGACCAAAGAAGTTGCTTCTCGTCCTGAGACGTCCGGGGCTCCTCACTCGAGCAGACAGCGGGCTCCTTCTCCTCCCTCCTCACACGTCGAGCGCCCCCCGAGCCACTCAGCTAACGAGAGCGAGGTCTCCAAAAAGCGTGCTCGATCAAAGGTAGTCGGTCAACAGTCCGCCAACCATCCGCCTTCTCCCAAGCGGTCCCACCATGATGGGAGGTCTGTTGTTGACCACGTCGTTCAACATCCTTCTTCGACCACCACCCTTTCTCTTGTATCCCGGGGACCCCGGAAGGCCGTGTCACGGTTGATGAGTTTCCTACCATTCGACGACACGCACCGATGGGGGGTTAATCGTCGAAACCAAGTTGAGATGGCGTTCGTGCCTTGACCCAGGTATATTTCTCTTCTACCGTTGTTCCGTAGCATACTTTGTCTGCACTTCCCTCATTCTTCTTCATGCTACAGACTCTCGTTTCTCTCGTGCCTCTCCTCGAGGAGACGATGAACAGCACTGGTCGCCTCATTCCTGTGCTCGAGGGCGACAGCCGGCGCCTCAAGGAATAAAATAGAAGGTTGAAGGCGGAGAATGAAGACCTGTTGAAGACGCGCCATGCGCTCGCCGAGCAACTGAAGAAGGATGAGCAGCGGTACAAAGACGCGCTGAAGGGCAAGGATAAAGCCCTCGAGGCGGAGCGGCTAGTCGAAAGAAGGAAGTAGAGGCTGCTGCCGTTACTGCGATAGAGCAGTCTCGTCGGGCCTTGTGGAGGACTCAGCTGGGTCAGGCTTTCCTTCAAGCCTATCGGGAGTAGCTGATCCAGGATTATCTTCGCTCGACTGCCTTCCTTAAGGAGGCCGCCGAGATGGGGATGGACTTCTATACTTACAGTATGGAAGAGGTCGAGCGCCAACGGAAAGAAATGGGATTTACGGGCGAGCTCGACCAGGACAAGACATGGGAGGTGATTCCCTCAGCACCCTCTAACTTCATCGGCGATCCTAGCTTACCCGCTGAGCATCCCTGGTGGACTGAGTCTTTGGAGCGGAGTTTGGCGAAGGATCCCTCCCTGAAGAGTTCCTTCGATGTGACCAAGCCTAGCGAGGCGCCCATAGTTCGTCTTTCTGTGGCCATCCTTCCTCCTCAGCCCTTAACTACTAACGCTCCTTCGTCCTCATCCGGTCCGTCCGCTTCTGCCCTTGCTCAGTCTGTCGTTGCCTCCATTCTTTCCACTACGACCACACAGTCGACTGCGGCGGGCTAGTCGACTGTCACTACTTCTACCCCAACCCTGGCTGCACAATCGTCTACAGCGACTCAGCTGGGATTTGCCGCGTTTGCCTCATCGGCGGCAGGTACACAGTCGGCTGCTTCTGCCATATCCTCGACCACGGCCGCCCATTCAACTTCTGCAGCGCAGTCGACCATGGCAGCCCAGCTGACTTCTGCGGCGCAGTCGTCATCCACTGCTGCCACACAATCAACCGCTACTGCTGCTCCGTCTACCGCCGCCCTCGCGAAGTAGTTTAGGAATTGATATTGTATTTTCGTATTTCATTTTGGTG